TTTTTTTTTTCAACTTTTGCCGAAGGGCACACAAAATAATCATCGCGGTGTCTAGCTCTTCTTTGCGTCGATGACGTCAACAAGTCCAACACGTACGGCAAAATGTTTATTGGTGTGCAGTTGCGCACCGTCTTGAAACTGTTCCGTAAGAAGGGTAGACGCCAAAAAAAAATTCCAGTAATTTTAACTCGCCCCTTTATTATAAAGCATTCTTTTAAGTGATTTCACTAAAGACAAACCATTGTTATCAAAGTTAAATACTTGAGCAGGTTTTCTGTTTCTCCCAGAACGTTATTCCTAACCTTAAAATATTTTTAATACCCCAATCAGGTCTCCTTAATGCCGATTTAGACGGCACGATTTTTGCTTACGACTATCGCGCGCGATTAGCATACGTCATGACTTTCGCGACAGATCGTGTCGTGTAAATTAGACACACTACATTCGTTTGACAAATGTGGATGTCGTAAGTGAAGTTGTGCGCGTGTGGATAGTCGAAAGTCATAACGTATGTTAGTCGCGCGTGATATTCGTAAACAAAAATCGTGCCGTCCAAATCGGCAAAAAGAAAGAGAGCAAGGAGAGAGTGATTCTGCTGCGATATGAAGGCAACTGAATATTGACACTCTTCTGATAGAAAAACAACTATGAACACAATCTAACAGTGGTTAAAAAAGATAGAGTACGAAATAGCGTTAACGTATATTCTCAAACTTAGGCCATTACTGAGTTGCCTTAAGCCTCTGTTTCAAAGCGAGGCTAAGTGCGAAGCCATTGATATGAAAATGATGTTTTATTGTCCTCCAAAAAAAGCTCATCAGTTTTCAGATCAACAAAGGTTTTGCACTTAGCCTCGTTTTGAAAAAGAGAGTTTTTGGAACTCGGAAATGGCCTGTCGAAATAGCCATGGAAGGCGTGACAGCACATTTGAATATAAGAAAAATTGATCGTCCGCGGTTCAGTATTAGAGGATACGTCGTGTACTTAATGGAATACCTTTAGTATAATTTCATGCCGTTGTAAGGGTTGTTATTCCCACCAGAATAATATTTGTTTAAGAGTATCGTTTAAAAATTATCGAATAATATGGGTGCTTGTATGCGTACTTCATAGCATTTTCTTTCTTTTTCACATTATTTTTGCTGTTTTGGAAGCGTGCGCGCAAAATATTTAGTTATTGTATCTGTCAGCTTAGTCCTTGGTGTTCTCGGCTCGGTCACGCCTGGACTCCACCTTGTGCTGTGACGTCATCGAAAAAGAAGCGCCTAGTTCCCTCATTTCCCAGACTTCGTTCAGACAACGGCGCAAGGGAGAACGCCTAGGGACTAAGTTTTGTATGTGTAGTTACTCAATGCCTCTGGGGTAGCTATTCTTTACGATCTATTGAAGTCCAAAGGAACTAAAATCTGGTGCTTCGGAGAAAACCTGTGGTTGGCGTTCCACCGCTTCGATTTTCTCCTCGAAGAACGATTCATCTACAGGAGCCGATTCCTGCTGCACTTGTAGTGTGGGAATCTCCAGAAGGTCTTCGATAGGGACCCCCACTTTTTCTGGCTCAGGTTTTGGAGTTTCCAGCGCCTTCGGGAAACGCGCTTTTCTTGTGACCTCCATAACAACAATCTCTTCTTCAAACTCATCGTATTCTTCTTCCTCTTCCTCTTCCTCTTCCTCTTCCTCTTCCTCTTCCTCGTCTTCGTCGTCATCATCAGCTTCTTTGTCAGCCAGAGGCGGTGTTGATTGGACTTCTGTTTTCTCTGATCCTTTGATTTCGTCTTTTTTCTTCTCGTTTTCTCTGACGATATTCTCAAGGCTAAGAATTGAAATATCCGGCTTGTCCCGTGTTGCCACTTCCGGGCGGATCTTGCTCTCGTTGGCTTTCTCGTCCGGTTCTTTCATTTGTGATTTATGACCACCGGGATATTTCAATTGAACACTTATGTCCGATAGTTCTGGATTTTTACGTTTTTCCTCGGGCGACTTACTTTCTTCCATCCACTCGGGCACATCAAATTTGGATTTATCTTTCCTGACAACCCAAATCGGCTGTTCGCCGTCACCTCTGGAAGACGTCGTAGAGTGTTCGACAACACTTCGGTTCTCGGGTCCCCCAATCGTCTTGGTCACTACAGTCCTCTTGTATACTGAACTATAGCTATTGCCTTCGGTCTTACCTCCTGGAGACCCTGTTGTGATAGTGGTAGTGTAACCTTTATTCTCAACCGTCTTGACGTCGTGTTTGGGAAATGCCTCTCCTTTGACTTCAAAGTTAATCAAGCGCTCCTCTCTTGCTTTGGGTGTAGTATCAAAATCTAAAAATACATCTCTTTCTTGGAGTTTTCTAGGCTGAAACACGCTGTTTTTGTCTTGGTCATTACCTCCTACAGTGATCTCTGTGGTTTCGGTCTTGACGTTGTTGGTTCCATCCCCGCTTGAACCACTTCTTGTAGAAACCGTGATGGTAATCGTTTTCTTCCCAATCCGACGAACCCGTCGACCATTTTCGTCAACGTACTCCACCACTTCGGATCCGTCATCTTCCGAGTTTTCTTTGGTCATTTCCAAAATGTCCCTCGTGCGATTTTTCGGTGAATCTTCGTCTTCTTCGTTGTGATTCGTTTCAGGAGTGTCATCGTCTTTTTTCACCGTTTCCTCGTTTTCTTTGATCGCGTCTTCCGGCTGCTCGTCTGGTTTAAGCAACCTTACGTTTTCCTCAGTGTGGTTTGGGGATTTTTCATCGTCATAGGAAACCTTTACCCTTGCTTTTTCGTCCGGCTCGCCTCGTAAACAACAAGGACAACAACATCTTAGGATGGCTGAGGAACGTAACAAGAAAAAATGTCATTAAATATATGTGGCTCTTTCTAATGTTTTTTTTTTTTTGGGGGGGGGGGATGGGATGGGGGGACTATCTATTACAGTCAACTCTCTCTAGGATGGACGATAAGGTGGACACCTTCGGGACTCTCTCTTAACGGACACCTCGGTGAAACGGACACCTAGAGTTGGACCCTGCCTTTCTTAATCCCCTTTATTTGACTCTTTATATGACGGTCCCAAAGGTGTCTGTAAAGGAGAGAGTTGACTGTAATATCCATCTCACAGAGAGAAGAATAAAGGGAGTAGAGAGTTGTCAGGGACCAACTCCGGGTGTCTGTTTTACCGAGGTGTCCGTTGAGAGAGAGTCGACTGTAGTCTTCTGTATGGACAAAGCGGTCAACGAATGGCGCGTCACGCAAAAGCCTGGATACTCAAGCGTCTTCTATCGCAAAACGAAGAACCCTTGGAACCGAAAATTTGTCGTAAATATAGGTATTCAGGTGCTGTAATACCTCATGAAAGAAGAAATTCAGAAGTATCGATAGTTCCTTAGTTTGAATTTTGATGACGTCATGTGAAAACCCCCAATTAGCTTCCTCATAATAACTGCACTCTTCGAATAAGCGCTCTTTTAAAAACTTATTCAGCTAATCTTCCATAGCGTTGTACGATCATTATGCCAATGTAGAAACCAAAATGTGAAAATACCGAGATAAACATGTACAAGAAACAAAAGTCTAAAATCTAAAAATACCGAGATAAATTTATGGAGCATAAAAGTATAAATACGTGTACTAAAATACAGATAAAAATCATAGGCGTCATTAAAAACTTGGTTGCATACCGAAAGATACGTTGTAGCCAAATGTCGGTTGTGAGGTACTGGTTTTTTCTCGCGTACGACGAAGAGCGGCGAAGACTTGACCGAAACCGGAAACCGCGCTTGAAAAGCCTCTGGCACCCAGGGTAGTTGTGAGGTCGAAATCCTGAAGAATGAAATAAGGGCCACTCCCCCCTCCGCGATTTAGCGTCAAAAAATTAAGATAGTTCGGAATTTAGAATAGTTTAAAACCTCCGAAAAAATGAAACAGTAAAAATTGAGCAAACTCTAGACGTCTCTTTTGGACATAAACATGCATTCCGCCAATAGTCTTGCTTCAGATGTGTTCCCGTCCGCAAAAATTAAATGATCCATTTCTAAGAAGGTCAAACTGCGGAATAATGTCAATTTAAGCAAGTTTGGACAAGGTTCAAATAACGGATCGAAAACAATAGGTATTATTATAATCGGAGCGTAAGGAAGAAAATATAAATTAATTAAATTCGAAAGTTGGGAAGTTGTACTATTTGTCGCACTTTTGATGATGTCAAGTTTGTTGGATTTTAGTTGATCGTGTCTCTATACACAGTATGCAAATGACTGAGCTTTTTTGAGTGAGTCCACTGACGTGCATTGTCTGATATGCGAAGGTTGAAGGAATGCAGTCTCTTTGAGTAAATTAAGCTCTAGTTAAAGTTGGTAGAGGACACTGAATATATGCTTTTGCTTAAAGCTTTTGGAGAAAGATGAAAATCCTGCTTGATATACTTGCAGCGCAAAGCAATTGCTCACTGGGAAAGCGTTCTTTAGGCATGGAAACTTGTAAACAAAGTTGTATTCGGTACTGAATTATATCCGCGTGACCAGCTGATACGCCCATTACGGTGAATTAGCTGATCAATGTTAAGCATACACATCGTTTGTTTATACATAAATGCCGAACCATTAGTTTGTTTTGAAATAACTTGTTCTAATATGAATTTCAAACTCAACTCTAATATGCTCACCTAATGGGATCCCAAAACGATAAGCTGTCTTTTTCACAACATAACGCCACCATGCAGACATTTTGGTTGAATGTTAATTTTGGTGACGTCATGTGAAAATTCCTAATTAGCTCCCCCCATAATAACTGTACCCTTCGAATAAGTGCTCTCTTCGAAAAAGCACCCTAATAATAATTTAATAATTTTAAAAAATGAAACTTATTCAGCTGTATCCAGCTTACCTTCCATAGCGCTGTACAATAATTATGCCAGTGTAGAAACCAAAATGTAAAAATACCGAGATAATTTTACAGAGCTTAAAATTGTAAAAACATGTACAGGAAGTACCGTAAAATTCCGAAAATAAGCCCCGGGGCTTATATTTTTCAAAGGCCCTTTTTGAGGGGCTTATTTTGGAGGGGCTTATGTTCGGAAGGACTTATCTACGGAGGGAGATTTGAGTTTCAAAATCGATTGGGCTAGCCTTATAGTTGGAAGTAAATTTGTATTACTTTGTATTTGAGGGCAATTTTCCAAGTTCAACAAACCCCCAGCTTGTATTTGGAGGGGCGATTTAACGGAGGGTTTTTTGCGTTACCGGTTGGGTAGGCTTATACGTGGAGGGGCTTATTTTCGGAATTTTACGGTAAAAGTTAAAAGTCTAAAATCTAACAATACCAAGATAAATTTATGGGGCATAAAAATAGAAATAAGTTTATTGAAATACAGTTAAAATTCATAGGCTTCTTTGAAAACTTGGTTTCATACTGAAAGGTACGTTGTTGATTCCTGTTAAATGTTACAGTTTTTCTTTTCATTTGCAACCGAGCCAAATGTCGGTTGTGAGGTCGAAATCCTGAAGAATGAAATCTGGATCCTTAGCCCCTCCTCGAATTAGCGTCAAAAATTAAATAAACGCCCTGGGTGCTAATTCGAGTATCGAAGATAGTACCGAATTTAAAATAATTTAGAGTCTCCGAAAAAATGAAACAGTAAAAATTAAGCAAACTCTAGACTCTTTTGGACATAAACATGCATTCCGCCAATAGTCTTGCTTCAGAAATTTTCCTGTCCGCAAAAATTAAATGATCCGTTTCTAAGAAGGTCAAACTGATTTTGAATAATGTCAGTTTGAGAAAGTTTGGACAAGTTTCAAATAACGGATCGGAAACAATAGGTCTTATTACAATCGAAACGCAAGGAAAAAAATCAATTAATTAAACTCGAAAGTTGGGAAGTTGTACTGTTTCTCGCACCTTTGATGTTTTGTCAAGTTTGTTGGATTTTAGGTGACTGTGTCTTCATACACTACATGCAAATGACTGAGCTTTCTTGAGTGAATCCACTAAATGCATTGTCTGATATGCGAAGGTCGAAGGAATGCAGAGTCTTTGAGTAAATTGAGCTCTAGCTAAAGTTGGTACAGGACACTAAATATATGCTTTTGCTTAAAGCTTTTTGAGAAAGATGAAAATCCTAGTTGATATACGTTCAGCGCGAAGCAAATCTGCTAACCGGGATAGCGTGCTTTAGGCATGGAAACTTATAAACAAAGTTGTATTGCGGATTAACTGCACGAGTGTGCTTAAGCACATCTCTAAAAGACACGCAAATCCAGCTATGAACAAAATATGAATTTCTGTACTAAAAGACTGCCGGTAATCATGAGAGATGTATCAGAACGAAAACCTACCTTTCATGATTGTGAATCGCCGTTCCAGAGGAGTGTGACGAGTGCTACCGCTAGTTTGAAAAATGATCCGCGAAAATCCAGTGAAAGGGCAGGCGATGAATAGATTCCTTAAATAGATTGTTTATGAGGCTCTAATTTAAACCAGGTTATGCCTGTCTGATATTTCGTGATCTGACTATCACGTGGAAAGGTCCATTCCAAACGTCGCTTTCTCAATTTATGTACGTTTCTGAGGCGCGGTTTTGCAGTCCTTGGTTGAATAATTTGCGAAATTTTAATTTACAAGTCATTAGCAGTATCATGAGCGTGCAACTAGAAATAGCGTGAATTATTTCTTAGTTGATTGAAGAATGGAAAAAACGTATCCGTAAATCATTTTTTGGAACTCAGAACATGGAACTGGGAGACATTATAACGATTCACAGCTAGACCCTGACAGTTTTAAGGACGGTAGAACTTTCTATGGTACAGTGCCCCCTTAAATTTGCATACGTCTTATCCCGGTATAGTGTATTCATGTATTGTAATGTTAAGTTATGTTTACACCCCGTTTTAATTTTTTTTGTAAGATTATCAGTTGTGCCGGAATACTAGTAAACCGTGACGTTGTGTGGTAATCGATTCACACTGAGACGCAATGAAATGACTTGTGTTTTCCTTTTACTCTATTTAAACTGATGAGGAAGTTAACTTTAGAGCAAAAATGGTCACCATGGGTTTGCTTTTCGTTCATAACTAAATACATAAAAATCTTGCATGCGAAACTAGAACATTCACAGCGTGCAAAGAAAATCATTTTTACAGCTTGCCCTTCGGGCAAGCTGAAGCTAGCAGTTACTAGCCCAAACGTCATTTCCGCTAGCCCCAAAAGCTTTTTGACGAGCAGAATTGATTTCACAGTTC